TTATTTTTTTTTTGAGACAGAGCCTCAAGGTTTCCCCCTGGGTAGAGTGCTGTGGCATCACTGCTCACAGCAACCTCCAACTCCTGGGCTCAAGCAAGTCTCCTGCCTCAGCCTCCCAAGTAGCTGGGACCATAGGCACCTGTCACAACGCCCGGCTATTTTTTGGTTGCAGCTGTCATTGTTTTGGCGGGCCCAGGCTGGATTCAAACCCGCCACCTTAGGTGTATGTGGCTGGCGCCTTAGCCACTCAAGTCACAGGCGCCAAGTCAACTTTATATATTTTAAGCCAACATTTACATGTTAGAAATTGCATCTTAAACTATTTAAAATTAAATATTTAAATTCTTTAAATCTATGAAAAGCTTCAGATGTCAACTTACAAGTACATAAGATCTATACAGATTTCCCAGTCTTTCAGAAATCTCAAGCAGAAATGTTTTAAGACCAATGACCCAGTCTATACCTCGAAGCCTGAAATGAAAAGAAAAAGAATCATTCATGCCAAAGCAACTCCACCAAATCATCAAGAAGCCAATAAAAAAATTACTTTTTAAAATTTTAACAAGTTCTGGCCATACCTTCAATCTTAGCCCTCTGGGAGGCTGACGCCGGAGGATCCCTTGAGCTCAGGGGTTCTCAACCAACCTGATCAAAGCAAGACCCCAACTCTACTAAAAATAAAAAATTACCTGGGCAAGGTTGCCAGTGCCTGTAGTCCCAGCTACTCAGAAGGCTGAGGCAGGAGGATCGCTTAAGGAGTTTGAGGAGCCCGGGAGCTATGCGCTAGGCTGATACCACAGAGTGAGACCTCCTCAAAACAACTTTTTAAAAAAAAAATAAATCCCAACTGCTTTTGACTTCTTCACATAAATTTAATCTTGGCACACCCAGATCTAAACCCAATATTCCAGGTGTGAGCCTACCAATCCCAGAGTAAAGTGATGCAAACTTTCTCATTCCAGAGTTGGCATTTCCCTAATACAATCTTTTTTCACAGCCTAACCACACCACTAATTCAGACAGTGATTAAGACTCCATTATGTTTTTGTGTGTGTGTGTGTGTGTCTCTCTCTCTCTATATATATATTTTTTTTTTTTTTTGAGACAGAGTCTCACTGTCACCCTTGGTAGAGTGCTGTCGTGTCACAGCTCACAGCAACCTCCAACTCTTGGGCTTAAGTGATTCTCTTGCCTCAGCCTCCCAAGTAGCCGGGACTATAGGCACCCACCACAACGCCCAGCTTTTTTTGTTGTTGCAGTTGTCAGCTGGCCGGGGCCAGGTTCAAACCCACCATTCTCGGTATATGGAGCCAGCATCCTACCTACTGAGCCACACCCACAGCCCAAGATTCCATATGTGTATATATATGCATATATATATATTTTTTTTTTTTTTTAAAGACAGAGTCTCACTTTGTCGCCCTCAGTAGACTGCTATGGCATCACAGCTCACAGCAACCTCCAGCTCTTGGGCTTAGGAGATTCTCTTGCCTCAGCCTCCCGAATAGCTGGTACTACAAGCACTCACCCAACACCCGATTATTTTTTTGTTGCAGTTTGACTGGGGCTCGGTTCAAACCCACCACCCTCAGTATATGGGGCCAGCACCCTACTCACTGAACCACAGGTGCCGCCCAAGATTCCATATATTTTTAATTACAAGAACTCTTGCAAGGTCACATCTCCACCCTCATAACTGGTACGGTTATTTTGTTGTTGTTGTTAATTTCTTACACTATATCTTTCCATTTTATTGAACAGTACTGGGCAAATCTTGAGAACGTTTAGCATTGTAGCCATCAGCAACCACTTCACTTCATAAAGGCAATCTTCCTGGATATATTTCAAATGTATATCATCCATATAACAAAGTGATGGAGCCCCAGCTCAAATCACTAGAATCCCCGCTGAAAATAGTGTCCACAAATTAAACTTCTTAGACATAAATGCTCAACCTCATGACTCCATCTAATTCTACCAGAGTCTGGCAAATATCCCCATCTCATGCAATGTGCCTTGCTAGAACTTTGACAAGTTACCACTGTGGTTACTATGCTCCTTTGATATACCAATTTGGATGTCCTGCAGTTCTGCCTGAAATTTTTTTTTTCTTTTTGCAGTTTTTTTGGCCGAGGCTGGGTTTGAACCCGCCACCTCCAGCATATGGGGTCGGCACCCTACTTGTTAGAGCCACAGGCGCCACCCTGAATTTTTTTTTTTTTTTTTTTGAGACAAAGTCTCTCACTCTATCACCCAGGCTAGAGTGCAGTGTCATTATAGCTTACTGCAACTTCAAACTCCTGGGCTCAACCAATCCTCCTGCCTCAGCCTCCAGAGTAGCTGGGACTACAGGCACTTACACACCCATGTCCAGCTAATTTTTCTATTTTTAGTAGAGACTGTGTCCTACTCTGCTTAAGTTGGTCTATAATTCCTGAACTCAAGTAGTCCTCCTGCGTCAGCCTCCCAAAGTGCTAGGATTACAGGCATGAGCCACCACCCCCGACCCCCTGACTGAATTTAGAGGAACTCCAATAACCCCTTTCCTCTAGCTGAAAAGAAAAATAACACATCTTGCACTTTGTATTAGTTACAGAATCTCAGGAATGGCAAAGATCATAAACATTTCCTGGTCTGATGTTTTTCAAATGGTAAGTTATGACCTATTCTCAGACCCAATTTAGTGAGTTGCAACTACAGTAGAACCTCTTAAGTTGACCACCCAAGGACTATAACAAGCTGGCCAACATACAGAGGTGGTCAACATAATGAACTAGGCTGTATTGATGCGTCCATGTGGTGCATGCCCTGCCTATGAAAATTAGGTCAATTTAAAGAGGTTGTCGATGTAGGGAGGTGGTCAACAATGGATGTGCTATTGTAACCTATTTTTTTTTTCTTTTAATGAAATGGAAAATGTCAGAGGGCATCACCCGAAGGGAGGTTAAGTTGTCTGTGTGCGTACATACACAAGGTATGCAGGGGCACATCCAGTCATGATGTAAAATGTGTAAAGGTGGGTCACAGGTCAAAAAAATATGAGATACTTTTCAAGTTCCTATCCCCACCACCAAGGCTCCACCAAAAATTTCTTAGTAATCAAAGTCATGTTCTTTGCAACCTTTTCACTTCATACAAAGAAACTAACAAATAGGATTGTATGCTTAGTACTGGTAATATGTCGTTCATTTTTTAAAAAGATCAGAATCTATTGAGGTTCCCAGTTAAAATACTAAACTGTTCAGAGATAGTCACTTCTATTTGGGAGGGAGTAAGACCTATATTTGACAGACAAAAGTCAGAAATCAGTTTGGTCTGCAGCTATAGAAGAAAAACCATTCTGGACTGCGAGTTTCTCAATCCAACCACAGGAGAGGACTTTAATACTCTTTTTAGCTCTAAAACTTGGAGAATAACTGAAAATCAACAGATCAAACTGACAAGAACTGTGCCCCTCCACACACACACACACTCCAACAAAACACTTCAACTATTCAACAAGTCAAAACAAGTCAACTGTTGATAAATATAATCAATATAACACAAAGGGTGTTAAGATGATACGAAGCACAGATTGACAGGGGTAGGGCAGAAATAAATCAAGGGAGAAGTTTCTGGGATTCAAGAAAAATATGCTCTGGTAGGTACCAATTTCTCAGGATCCTCGTCTACACCCCAATTCACCTCTGTCCTCAAACTATCAGTCACAGATCTGGCTCTCATGCTCTTCCCTGCCACCTTACCTCATTGTGCAAAAGGAAACTGAGGCATGAAGCAATGAGCAAGCGAGCGAGCTGACGTAGTCCCCAAAAAGGCTGGACTAAGAGGTCAGGCCACTAATACCTTGCACCTCACACGATCCCCAGACTAATTAGAATCCCGCCGTCCTCAGCCTCCCACGTCAAACCAAACTCCTGGAGCCACCGTTAGTACCTGAGCCTCTGCGCAGCCCGCAGCTCGTGCCCGCCTCTAAGGTGTCCAAGGCCTGGAGCCCCCCAGTCTAAAAGCAAACCCGGCTGCCAAGCCCGGAAGCCCCCTCCCACGAGTACCCACAACCGGCCGCCGCCCCTCGCTCCCACCTCCACGCCGTCTAGCCTCGGCCTCCTCCGCGCACCACACCAAACCGACCACGCAACACGAGATTGCCCACGGAGGGGCTTCTCCACACCCACCCCCTCAACCGCGTCCGCCGGAAGCGCCTTGCGGCCCCACGCCACCGTCGTAAGGTCACTTCCGGCGCGACGCTCGGTAGGCAGTTGAGGGGCGGGGCGCCCGGGAAATTTGAGCGAGGGAGAAAGAGACCTAGCCGGCCTTCCTTAGAATCCCTTGGGCCGCCATCTTGCCCACTCCTCTTATATCCGATTGAGTCTAAGGTGACCAGACATCTGGCTTTTGGTGGGACAGTCCTAATTTTTAACAATTTGTCCCGTGTCTCGCAGCGTTTTTAAACAGTCCTGATTTTTGGAAAGAATGCAGGACAAGCTAGGGAACCGCAGGAGAATGGGTGCTGAAAAGGTTATTGTAACTCCATTTGGGAATGAAGAGGTTAATGTAACTTCATTTGGAAATGAAACGGCTAATGTAAACTCCCTACTCCCCTCCTGGGCAAGGTTGTCCAGGTAGAATCGGTATCAGAAGGAGACTGGCTCCCTCCCTTGCTCCTAGGCGAGGACAATTAGCTCAGAAGGAGCCAAACTGTCTGGAACAAACAAGTAG